CATTTGAACATGGGGTGCAGTGCTCACACCAGCCTGCGGGGGGCGCCAGGGAGCCCTGGCTGCGGGGAGTCGGTTTCTGTCCCCGTCACCACCCATCCGCCTTGGCTTGTCCCCAGCACACCTCTAACCCCTTCCATGTGCGCATCCAAGGCTGCCTCTCCCCCAGGCCTGCGGCTGTCTCCGTCACCTTCTTCCAGCAGGTCATACTCCTGCGACTGAGGTGCCCAGGGCCCCCACCCGCTTCCTGCCACCCCCTCAGACTCAGGGAGAACCAGACTCCCCCTCGCCCCCTTCCTTGGAAAAACCAAGGGGATTTTTTTTTAACTCCAGGAAATGAAAAAGAATTTGGTGAGTTGCTGGGTGCTGCGTAGTCATGCAAAACCAATAATACTAATTCCTAAAGATGTGCCAGTTTTAAAGATTGTATTTACTTATGTTTTTAGAGAGGGGAAGAGAGGGAGACAACAATTGATGTGTGGTCGCCTCTCATGTGCCCCCAACTGGGGACCTGGAGAATTGAACCCGTGGCCTTTTGATTCACAGGCCGGCACTCAATCCACTGAGCCACACCAGCCAAGGTGATGTGGGCTTTTAAGACAGAGTTTTCATTCTAAGTTGCTACAGAATATGAAACATGTGAGATCAGTGAGGGTCTGTGATGACCTGTTGAAGTTCTTATTTTATTAGGAGAGGTTGTCCCTCCATCACCATTTATAAAGAGGTAAGAACGTGCCTCCATCCCAGAAGAGCCCCCTCCCCATCTGGGAGGAGGGCAGAGGGCGCACAGGGTCACGGGCAGCCTCAGGGAGGAAGCAGGGCGACGCCCGGCACCGGGCGTGTCCACTGAGCAGCGCTGTTTCCGGCTGGATTTGAGTTCCCTGTTGCTTTGCAGCATCTCACTCCGGGATGCTCTGTCCACTGGAAGTGGTCAGCACCCTGGCCTGAGGGTCAAGTTCACCTTGGTCCTGAGCTGGGCCGGCTGACCATGGGGTACAGCCTTCTCTGCTGACGGCAGGCAGGGGCTGGTTCCCCCAGCTGGTGCCCCCGTCAGTGGCCCAAGTCCTCCTGGGTGTGGGCACTGCTTCGCCAGAGCCCCTGGTCCAGACTGAGCCCAGGGAGATGGCTAAGGACACTGCCCCCCTCCCCCAAGCCTGCCTGTTGACTGTTGGCTCCCAGTGAGGACCCCTGGCTGGCTGGGTGGGGGGAGGGACAACTCGTTCAGGCCGTGCCCTGGATGCTGAGCACGTAGGACTTCTCGTGGGGATTTTGGTTGAAACCTGCTTCACTCTTCGACATCCAGCCTGTCTGTGCAGACAAGTCACACAACTCCTGTGGGCGTCACTGTGTGTGTAAGATGCTTTGTGGGCTGAAGGGCACTGTGCAGATCTGGGCGATTATGTCACAGACACCTTTATAATGTGAAGGGTTTTGATACTAGTCAAAAGGATCCACAAAAAGTAATAATAGCCCTTCTGTTTGCAGAAGGAACTTAAAGAAGTTTATTCTGCCCTCATCAACATGGCTAGTGATTCATGGAAAACATGTACGGCTGTGACTTAGAAGAATGGTTTCATGTCACTCGTCTGAGTAATGGGGAGGCCTGGCGGGAGCCACTGGGGCCCGCCCCCGGCTGCCTGCTGCTCTGCTCAAGGGCTTCTGGACGGGCTTGTCTCTGTGGCTGCAGCGCCGAGCGCTAAACCGCAGCAGGAGGCGAAGCTGGTGAGCCTAGCAACCCAGCAACACGGTGGAGACCAGCAGCCCAGCTTGGGTGTGGCCCTGCACTGGCGACATGCTCTGGCGTCTGCGGGTGAGCTAGGATCCTCGTGTTCCTAAAACAAAATGAGGCCGTTCTATTTACTTCTTGCTCCTTCCTTGAGAAAGAAATTGAGTTTCTGCATAGAACCATATTGTACATCAGAGAAGCGCTTTTTTTTTTTTTAATTTGGGACATTGCACTTTTGTTGAGAGGCACAGCATGAAGGAGTTTAGGGGTGCCCAAGACAGCTGGCTCTCCCCAAAACTCAGGCCCTTCTCAGCGCAGAGTTCTGGATTTCAATAGCAACTGTGCATTTACAGCTCATTCACCACCTGGCAGCCTGGAAGGGGCTGGAAATTCAGAGTCAACCTATCAGAGGTGGCATCCCGCCCAAAAAGACCTGCGCCGTTGACCTCATGGGTTCTTACATATGTCCTTATATGTAAGGACCCTGAGCCCTGGCTGGCACAGTCCAGGTCACCTGCTCCCTGAGCCCCTGTTCCCCGCCTCCCGGCCATGCTGCTCTGACCAGGTGACAGCGCCCGGGCCCCTTCTGCTGACCTTCTTGAGGATGGAAATGGGGGCTCTCGTCTGGTTTCTTCTCACCAGACACTCTCAGGTCGCTTTCACTCTGTCTTCTTCAAGGCGGAGGGTGTGTGTTATTCTGCCCAGCCGCCTCGGAGCTGTGAGCACTGAGATGAACATCTTGTGCCTGTGCCCCACACCGCCCCCCCCCATTTCCCAGTCTGTTCACACAGCCACACCCCTTCCTTTGGCTTCTTAGAGGACTTTCCACAGACTGAGTGTATAGGTTCCGCCACTCAGTAGTCATCATCGCAGTGGCCTTGCCCTCAGTGAGAAAAGAAAAGGCCTCCCCGGCAGGTGGCTGCCTTGCGGGACCCTCTTCCTGAGAGAGCTGCTCACACCAAAGTGGGCGGAAGGCGGCCAGGCCTCTGCGTTCTGCTGTTGGCCCGCTGGCTGCAGCGCAGCACCAAGCAGCGCGGACTCGGCGCTCCCCACGCCCAACAGCTGGCCCTCAGCCCGTGGGCTGACTCGGCCAGGCACCAGCGTGGCTGGGCTGAAATGGGTCAGAACGTGGCCGCCTCCCGTCCAGGACGGTGACTTTCCACTGTGTCCCCAGGAATTTTTAAATCGTGCCGTAACCAACTATTTGGTCAGGGGCACCGACCTTTTTCCTGTGGTTCGTCAAATTAAAAAATGGCAACAGCCAACACAACCGTAGCAGCCTGGTGTGAATGAATCAAAATGATAGCTTATTTTTTGTCAGATCAGCAAAAAATGTATTTGGGGTGTGCCACAGAATTTCGGTAATTCCTTTGTGTGCTGCGAGATGAAAAGGCTGGAGCTGGCAGGTCCTGAAGCCTGTTGGACGAACGGCAGTTCCCTCCGACAGGCCACCGCTCAGCGGGGTGAGGACTCTGGGGCACCCGGGGGTCATTGTGTGGCTGGTGCCACCGGCCCGCTCCTGCATTGAGCCGACTCGGCCGCTTCTTCCTCCTGCACCCTTGGCTCCTGCAGCTGCGCCCCCACCCCCCAGCTTTTGTGGGGTCTCTGGGCTTACTTTCCTTCCTGGGCTGCCCACTCTGTCCAGGCCATCCCACTGTAACCATTGTCGCCAGCGTCCTTCCTGCTGTGGGCAGGAAGGCCTGGGCGCATGGGGTGGGGACATTCCGGGAGCAGAGGGAAGGGTGTGGGCTCAGAGGCGGCAAGGCAGGTGTTGGTTTGAGGATTCAGGGGCTAGGGGGTCTGTGTGCCCTTGGTGTGTCTTTGTCCCTCCGTGTCCCAGGGGCACCACCACAACCCGCAGGGCTCAGTGACACTCCACACACAGGCGACTTGCTCAGGACGCCCCCAGTAAGCGTCAGACAGGAACCAGACCAGATGGCTTCAGGGCAGAGCTCACTTAACCGCCCATCACGGCTTGGCGCTGGGCTCACCCGAAACCTGCCGAATTTCTCACAGCACCCACTCTAACCCTTTACCCCACCTCTTTTCTGTCTCCTCCGTCAAACCTTCGGTCCCCCAGAGCCTCCTCTGCTCTCGGCCTTCCCCAGCCCACTCCCCACAGCTCGTGGGAAAGGGCGTGCGGTCCACAGTCGGCAGATCCAGTGCTTACAGGTTACAGAGAATTAGGTTCCGGGGGGCAGGGAGGGGGAAATGGGGGGGGAGCGGTGACATTTGAAACATTCACGTGTGACTTTGTGGTCTCTCAAGGCTGATTTGGGAGCAGCCTTTGCGAAGAACTAGGTCAAGCGGTTCTGGTGAAAGTTCCCCTTTGGAGGCGGGGAGATGGTTATTCTGAAATGAGCCTCCAAAAACGTGTCCCGGAAGAGGGGCCGAGAGGGGTCGACACGACCTCCCGGCCTGGCCAGGACAGGTTGATATTCTGATGAATGTCACAGTGTCATCAGGGGCTTCTGCCCGGCCCGAGCGAGCTCCGGCAACGTCCCGCTGCTTTGTTGGCTGGACTTTTAATGAACGAGAGGCGCGCATCCTGTGGCTGGAGGAGGGCGTGCGGGGAAGTTGGGTCCCCTTCCCAGCGCCGGAACGACTCCACCCGGCGCCCTGCCCTCCCGGACGGGCCCTGGACCCTGCGGCCCGGCTGTGAGCCACCAGATCCGCGCCGAACCGCTGGCAGCTGCCTCCGTTCCTGCGCGGGGATTCTGATGGGGAGGGGGGCGCGGGGTACACCGGCCTCGGACTCTCCTTCTCACCGCCCGGGCCGTCCTGGAAGCCGGCCCCTTCTCCGGGTGACGCGTTAACGGGCCGGCAGGTGCTGCTGGGCTCGGCTGAGATTGCCAGGCCCGCCCAAGTTCAGTTTGGCCCGAGTTTCGAGGAGGCTGCTGGGCTGCAGTGGCAGGAGCCGGCGGCGCGGCGGCCGTGGCGGGAGCCGGGATGGTGGGGGAGGGGAATAAAGGAGGCGCTCGCCCCGCCCCCACGCAGGCCCCGCCCCCAGCAGGCCGCACACCCCTCGCCTCGGGTTCCCGCCCGCGCCTCTGGCAGGGTCGGCTGGGGTCTGCTTTCCCACCGCTTTCCAGTGGGACCCGAGGGGGTTGGGCGGTGATTAATAACCGCGGAGATGGGGCACGCGCAGAGGACGGAGGGGGGGGGGTGGAGCGCAGACAGGGGGCGTGCCCTGGAGAGGCGGGGCTAGGGGAGGGGCCCTGGGTGGGCGGGCGGGGCCCTGGGTGGGTGGGGCGGGGCGGAACCGTTGGGGCGCTACCCTGCACGCCCGGCCCGCGCCCGGCCCGCTCCCCGCTCGGAGGGCCGGGGCCACCTGCGCCACGCCCCTGGGCCGCGCCCGAGCCGGGAAGCGGGGAGCGCGCCTCCGCCTGGGGAGGGGCGAGTCCGGTGCCGGCGCGGGCCTGTCCCTGAACCGGAATCCGCCGCGCTGGGCATGCGGCTGCGCTGAGAGCCTGAGCTCGCGGACCGAGAGCCCGGCGCTCCCCGAGGTTCTGGCCTGGCTGTGCGAGGAGGTGGACGGGCAGCGGGCACCATGACCAACCCGGCGACCGCGCAGAACAAGGAAATAGACTGCCTGAGTCCAGAAGCTCAGAGACTGGTAAGAGGAAAACCCAACAACTTCGGCGCTGACGGCGAACGTTTGGTCCTGGTTGATGTTCCAGGTCCAGGGCACTAGGCACCTTCGGCCGCAGGCGTCCGTGCCTGGTGCGCTCTGGGGCGGGCTCCACCTGGCCGGGAGCCCCTCTTAAGTGAACGTTCCCACGCGAGGTCGTGCGGGTGGGAGGGGCCCTGCAGTTCGTGTCTCCGTGCGCGCTGACCCCCCTGGGCAGAGGGCAGGTTTCTCGGGACGCCGCCCTTCCCAGGGCCGCTCCCCTGTGCCTGCGCGCGGCTCTGCCCAGCTGGGTGACTGGGCCTCTGAGGCCTGAGACCTGCGCGTCGTCCAGAGTCTTAGAGGGAACTAACTATTCGTTAGGTGTTTTGCGAAGGACAGCGCCCAGGAGGAGCCGGTGCCCGGAGCCAGGCCCCCAGCCTGAGAGCGGCAGCCTGTGGCGGGGAGGGGGGGTTGCCTCAGAACACTGCTCCAGTGCCGCACCTTCCGGCCTCTGGGGGCTGAGCCGGCTTCCCCACCTCCCCCAGCACCCCAATCTCCACATAGACTTGGGCTGGTCCCCTGGGGCCTTGTGGGTCTGGACAGGGTCCTGCAGGATTTCACAGTCACCGGCTTAACACCCGTGGGCGTGGGATAGTTTGGGTAAAACTGGGCGGGGGTGGGGGCTCTGTCATTTCCCGTTGCCATGCAGCTTGGTCGATGGGAATGTCTAAGACAAAAAGGTGCATCTGGGGAAAGAAACACTTTGTGAAGTGACCACTGCAGAGACCCCGACTTCCACTCCACCGGGCCTTGGTGGGAAGTCGGTAAAAGTGGGGTCCCAGAACTCTCACTCCTTCGCCAGGTGGGAATTAGTGAGCACCTGCTGGGTGTCGGGGGAGAATCCGAATGTAGAGACTGCCTGACCTTGGAGGTGCTTAGCTGTAGGCGAGCACCAGAGAGGGGGAGACGTGGGCTGCGATGCGCTCCCACTTGAAAGCCACCTCCCGGGGTTTGGGGTGGGATTTCCATGTCCGCGATGTTGTGCTGCCTGTGAGACCTCGTCTCCTCCGTGGTTTCCAGGGGCCTGGGAGCCTGCAGAGAGACCCTGGGCTCCCCACCAGGGGCGCCCCGGGAGGAGGGAGGGCAGAGTGCTGCCAAGGGAGGTGGGCGTTCCGGAGGAGGAGCCTCGATGGCCAGGGCAGGGCCACACAAACCCCGGGCTAGATGGCGCTCCGAGGAAGGAACTCGGGGCAGGGACTTTCTGAAGGAGGAGAGCCAATGCAAGGGGAGCAAGGACGGGAGGGAGGGAGGGGACTGTCCATCTGCGGGAAGAGCAGAAACAGTGCCCGCTCCCAGGACCCTTCACTTCACCCTGGGGTTGGGTCTGGCGGATGTGCGTGCGTGCTTCACAGAATCGGGGGAGGGGCAGTCTGGACCGGGTTCTGATTGAGAGCACTGGTGGCCCCCCACCCCCCAGTTCAGCGATTTCCATCCGTGGGCCACAAGAATTTTCACAGCATGGGACGCCTGGTTGGGGGTGCTGGCCCCTTTCCCCTTAGATCGTCAAATTAAAAAGTGACATCAGCCAACACAGCAGTAGCTGCCTGGTGTGAGTGAATCAAAACGACTTACCTATTTGTCAGCAAAAAATGTAATGTCTGTTTTTGGTGTGCTGCAGAATTATAGTGATTAGTTTATGTGTGCCCTGAGATGAAAAGGGTTCAGAATTGCTGCCCCACCAATCCCAGAACCCAGGAAGCTCTAAAAACCAAAAGTGGTTGCTTGTGTGTGTGTGTGGGGGGGGGGGGTTGTGGCAGAATTCATGGAGCAGCAAGACCTGCCCTGACAGGCCTGCACCCCCTCATGCCCCGCCCCCCGCAGCCCCGCTCAGGGCTCGAAGGGGGGCTGTTGCAGGGCACTCGCTGGGTGCACCCCAGCACCTCTCTGAGATGGGGAGCTGTTGAATTCTGAAACACACTGGCTCCCAGGACTCCCAGTATGAAATCGGAACCTGTAGGGGGCTTTTTTTAAAAAACTAAATAATAGCAAAATCGCTTTGGGAGGTGGAGGGGGGGCAGAGGTTAAGCCGGCCTCTGCTTGGTGAGGGGAGTGGTGTCCTTGGAAGGAAGTGTGCTCAGTGGCCAGATGGAGGTGGGGTGCCTTGGAAGGGTGTCACCCCGTGGCCACCCTGGGCATTTCACACTGGTCTGTGTCACTTGCGTTCTGTGTGAAGTGAGCCCGTTGCCCTGGAAACAGGCGCCCCCCCATGGGGATGGAGGCCGGGGCCTCAGCAGTGCCGGAGGAGGGCGGGGGTTGGCCTTGCCTGGACAGGAAGGAAAGCGGGACCAGAGCAGGAGCCCAGGCTCCTCCCACGACCCTCAGCGCAGCCCCGGAGCTGCCCAGGAGGACTGTGCAGAAACCACACATTTATCGAACTTGCGTAACTTCCCATGTGTGACATGGTTGTGTCACCTGTGGTTGCTTTCCACACACTGACTGGCACAAACTGACAAACACCAGTCCTGTCTGCTGGAGAGGTTGTCCGGGCAGGGCGCCGGCCCGGTCCCCAGCTCCCGCCTCAGGTGTGTCCCCGAGCCCAGGTCCTGGGTCTCATCACGCTGGCAAAGGTCGGGGGCTCAGGTGGCGGGCCCTTGCCCGCAGGACGCTCAGCCAGATATTTTGAGCCCTGGGACCACATGGTTCGTTTCCTCCAGCGTAGTTAAGGCACAAAAACCCCGAGGGAGGTGTTTTCTCCCACGTTGAGAGGGCCCCGCCAGAGCAGAGGTGAAGGTCGCATTTCACGCTCTCTCTACAAGTTAGTTTCTGTTCGGCCTGAGCTAATGTCACAGAGCGGAAGCCTGCTTAGCAAAAAGTTTTCAAGCCTGTGTAGTCTACACTGCACTTATGCTGAGCACAGGAAATCCAGCTGTTTACAAGTGCAGAGCTCTGTTCTCTCGAAGTTGGTTGGAGTTTTTATTACCTACCAGAGTGAGGCCTTATCTCGATTCTGCAGAACCTCCAGGCTCAACTCGGTGCCCTGCGTTTGCTCCTCAAAAGGCAATGTTCAAGAGGCCTGCCTTATCCCCGAGAAATCGGGCCTGTGACTCAGAGGGAGAGCGTGATGACTAGTTGGTTACTCATGTGCCAAAATCTCCATCCGTGTTCAGGAGTTGGCAGCTCGAGGCCCGGGAGGCGGGGGTTACTGGCCTGTTGAGAAGAGGAGCCTGGTAAGCTCCGCTGTAAGGAGCACGAGGGGGAGGCTGGAGAGCGCCTTGTCACCTCCTCTTCTAACTCCGAGCCTCCCAAAGTTTAGTTTGCTTTTTTGAATGAACAAGCTTATTATTATGACTGAATTCACTGAGACTTTCAGTATTCAAACTATCCAGATAAACTCCAGTGAATTAACTTCCTTCTCCTAAGTGGAAGCATTCTGCTGACCACCCCCAAGCCTCAGCCAAACTGCAACACAAAGGAACCCAAAGCAAACACACCAGACCCCCCTCCCCCTTCTCCCCCCTCCCCAGCAGCTTGCTGCTGCTGCTGCTTAGAGGTGGCGGTGTGTTCTGACCTCCTTCATTCATGGGGGTGAGCCAGCAGGGCTTCGGGTGGTTCTCTCCTTAATGCTGTAACTTGGTAGCTTGAAAGCAGTTTCACTTTGAATTTAAAGAGCAACTGCTTTGTGGCAAAGACGTAATTTATCTTCAGTTACTGTGATGAGCATTTCCTTTTAGTTTTAGCCACAATGTTTCATTCGCACATTTGTGTGATGGAATCAGTGAAAGCAGCCCTGGTCCTGAAAAAGGCCCGTGGGCTTGTGGCCCCGGGGCCGGTGAGGAGTGGGCCGGCCCACCCCTGCCCGAGCTCTCCCTGCAGGTCCTGCCTGAGCTGAGTCCACACCGCTGCAGCACTGGTGGCCGTGGGTAGCGTTTCCGTCACCCCATGCCCCACCCCTTGTCACCCTCTTTAGCATTTCCTGTGGGCGTCTTCCCCGGCGCTGGCGGTCACTGCATCTCCTGAGAGGGCTCGGTTACCCCCACTGACAGATAAAGAGGAAACTGAGGCTCAGAAGGGCCGGGGACTTCCCCAAGTGCACACAGCTAGCAGGCCTCTGAGCTGGCTCGGCCAACCGTCCCCAAGGGGACAGTGCCCCGGGGGCAGGAAGCGGCTGTCGGAAGCTCCTCTCCTTGCAGCCCGGGCCTCACGGCCCAGGGTGACGGCAAGGGTTCCGTTTCACTAGGACAGCCCCTGCAGACACAGTCCTTGCCCCCGAGCACCTCTCGAGAAGTGTTCATCGTGTAAATGTTTCATTTCTATTTCTGGTAGTTTGCAAACTTTTCAGAAGGAGAGAACAGGCAGTCTACCCGAGTTTTCTAAATAAGGAAGAGAGCACCAGAGACGGGGGGGGGGGTGGGGTGGGCATTTCTCTCCCATTCCTGGTACCTGCCTGATGTGCCCTGCTGGTCAGTGTCTGGTACACGGGGACCCCGGGCAGCCGAGCCTTGTCCCAGGTGCTGCGCGGAGCCCCTGCCCCACGCCACCCAGACAGACAGGCTCCTGGAGGCGAGAACGGATGGCGTCCGAGTCTCCCCTGGCCAGTTGCAGGGCTGACACAGGGACGCAGGGAAGGCGGCCAGTAGCCGAGTCCTGCAGTTGTGTCCTGCCCGACACGGGAACGTGTGGTGCTGCGGCAGAGCCGGCCTGACCCTGGGAAGGGGCCATGGCGACGCTCTGGCACCTGGAAGGGGTGGGGCCTGCGGGGAGACCCTGAGTGGACACGGGAAGGGAAGGGAGTGGAGCCCAGATGCCTGGGCAGCAGGGGACCTGTCCCCTGGGGAGCCTCACAGGTGAGCCATGCTGCTGTCACCTGCCAGCCACACGCACGGGTACAGGTGGCCGTCACGCTTTTGTCGGTCGCACCAGCATGTGGAGACTGTTGAAGGAATGGGGGCATTGGCTCCTCTCACAACAAAATTTAAATGTAGTGACAGCCACAGGGGGAGTTTATC